CTTACCTCCAGTATGCCTAGAATGTTTACAATTGACAATCCCAGACCAGCGAATCATACAATTTTACTAGATTCGAATCCCAATCTCTCCGATTACGGCTAATACTTTTACTACCTTCTACCTCTATGGGATTATAATTGACAATGGCATCTCTGTGTACTAATGTGGTATAGCAACTTGAACTGATGTACGTACGTACGTACGAAGTTCTACGTTGCTGTTGACTGATTGATCGTTGATTTTGCCAACCAATTCTTTGTTATTGGTTGTAATAAATGTTATTTGGTAGATAGTATATTGATCACAAGATGGGTTCCCTAAATGTCACTTTACTCAGTTTTGATTTCGTACATCATAGACCACCTGGCGCGCTTCCTAGGTTGCTGTCAGTCTTAAGCCCGACTAGAGAAGTAGGTTTGGGCATGGAGTTAGCGACCCCATCCCGTAGGAAACTGACTCACTAAAAAATGCTAACCAGAAATTGTCGGCGGCCTGTTCTCGATTAGGGGTAACAGGCGTAAGTAAGTTTCGTGATATTTCTTAATTCTTTAAGAGCTTTTCATCCAAATCAGCTTAAGCATTTGGTCAACTGTCAGTGTATATCGTTTACTCGTTTTAGATCATGTTCTATAGCTAAAAAATGATTCATCCTATTTGTTTTACAGTCAGAAGAACATCTTGCCTGTTTTGTTGTATGTGGGAAAAACCAGTCGAGATCTCTATAGACACATGTCAAATTTCATCAGTCTTTATAAACATGTTGTCAGACTGAGATAGATCAGATAGTTTTAAAAGTTGGTCCCTTTACGCACCTCGTATATGTAAAAATGTGTTGGATCCCCACTTCTGAAAATTGATGATGAATGGGATTTATTATGAAATCATCCAACTCAGAGAATACAATTTCATCAAAATTGTCCTTCTCGGTTACATTACTTTGCCACCGACTCGAAAGTGTATGCTTAAACACCATTTGGTACTACCAATCAGTCAGGCAGTTGCAACGTAGAATTTCGTACGTAAGTACATCAGTTCATGTTGCCATACCACATTAGCACAGAGACGCGATTGTCAATTCAAATCCCATTGTGGTAGACTCAGTAGAAGTATTACTGGTAATGGAGATTAGGATTTGAAGATTTACAAGAAGTCTAATTCAGTGAAATAAGTTTAGAAAGACAAAGGTAGCTGTTACCTTGACGTGGTGGTCGGGCTTGCATATCGTGATGACCCAACCGAACTATATTGGCTAAAATATATGTTCCTGAAGGTTCTACCATTCCAGGCAGGTCGATTGGAGAACGGTGAGACTAAAAACAGCTACTCAATGTCTGAGGTTGAAGTCGTACTGCTGACTGCAGGGGGGTGTGACGGAAGTAAGGTGTTTCCCTCGGAAAACCAGCATCTGCAGCGATGCTGTCTTCTCACAAGGAAGGAAGGGTTAGAAAAGGTCGACTCTAAAAATGTCACACCTCACCTTGCCTCACGGATTTCCGTCTCCGGCTGTAAGGCTGTACAATAAGGGATTTTAAAAAGAGTGGAGCTAATACTCTAAAAACCTTTCATAGAAAGGCCGTGCGTGACCAGCTTGAAGCAGTTGTCCCTTGGGCTCCGTGGTCACGCTCCCAGGTCTCTAAGACCGACACTAATCTACCTTCCTCTTCGGGTTCCTGAAGAAAACACCCTTCCACGTTGTGGGCAACCGGGAAGTGATATCCGCCCTCATACCCGTTCCAACACACGAGATCAAATTCGGTACTACCATAATTCAAAAATCAAGTTTTTAATACGTGCGGTGTATATTGACTGACACCATCATGGATCGGAAATATATATACCAGCGTGTGTATATGAAATGGTGTGAATGGTCCACTAGGGTATCAGGTACGTGTGTGGTAGCACCACGGTATTGAGCCGAACTGTTCATGTAGAAATGGTAAAATGAGTTCAGTCTCTTTGTGGTTCTCCTGAAAGCCAAATGTAAAATTGCCCCCTTGACAATACACGGGTTAATTTATATAATTGTAAATTGATTACATTGCGGGGTTGTTGTGAAGATTATTAAGTTACATTATTGAAACCATGAATCAATCAATGTTAGACCATCACCATTAGAAACCTGGAAGCACTGAAAGACGGCCGTTTCTTCCTGGTATGGGACTACTCATCAGTGGCAGTGCGCATCCACGACTCCTGCACCCCGCAGGTTTCTAATGGTGGTCTAACATTCATCGATTCATCGTTTCAATAATGTAAATTGATTCATGAATTCATTGAAGCTTGAAATAAAATATCAAGATCATTCATTTTGTGTTGTTTTTAATTTTTATTTAGTGAATTAATCAATGTCATTTCAAATGGACCATCTATATCACTTAAAGATAATATTTGTGCAGTATTTGGTCATACACAGGTACGCATCTATGTACTACTACTACTACTACATGAATCATAATGTCGTCATTATCATGGTTATATTCATTTCATGTCAAGTATGCTTTGTTCAGAAGAAACATGAACTAGTATTGTCTATTGTGTATTGTTTTAAGGTTGGTCATACAATACTTACTATCATAGGTTACAGTTTCTTAATAGATATAACAGAAAATCAGCTGAATGCTAGTCATTTTTGTCTCAAAACATGGCACAAATCCTCGAAATCACTTACAACCGGACTGAGCCATGTTAGTAGGTGTAGACAACCAGGTTGAGGTCCGCAAGACTATAGTGACCGATGGTTAGCGACTTTCATTGACATGGCTCACAATCGTTCTCACCGGTCATACACAGGTATGCATCTATGTACTATATGAATCATAATGTCACTATCATGGTTATATTCATTTGATGTCAAGTATGCTTTCTTCAGAACAAACATGAACTAGTATTGTCTATTGTGTATTGTTTTAAGGTTGGTCATACAGTATTAAGTTCATCTATAAAATACTCAGTCTCACTATGATTAACCGCATAGGTTACAGTTTCTTAATAGAACTAACAGATAATCAGCTGAATGCTAGTCTTTAGTGTCTCAAAATATGGCACAAATCCTCGAAATCACTTACAACCGGACTGAGCCATGTTATTAGATGTAGACTACCTAGTTGGGGTCCAGTGACATGGCTAAAAATCGTCCGCACTGGTTCAGGTGCATCCATTTCTTGTCTTCTCTCAAATTTTTATCTGATTTCCTCATAACCTTCATCTTTTTCTTCTTATATTTTTTTCATGGGATTATACTTCTTGAATCATATCTTCGAACCCTAATCTTCTCCATTACTGCTAAAACTTCTACTGCCTCTACCACTGGGGGATATGAATCGACAATTTCATCTCTCTGTGTTCGTTAATGTAGTATGGTGACTTAAACTGATGTACGTACGTGATAAGTTCTATGTTGTAGCTGACTACTGATTGAACCGGTGACCAATATCACATGACAAATGCATAACATCAGTCACGGTTACGCTTAGCATTAATAATTTTCAGTCAGCTCTATATCCTTATTGGTCATCAACTCTATGGCTTCTTCTGTTCTTCCACTCTTCTTCTTAGTTCAGTAGTCCGTAGCTAAGCCTTCACTAAATCCCGTTATATTTTAAGTAGACATAGTTTATATATATATAAGCATACCAGACCACATCACACCATAGAACGGGAAAATTCAACAGTACATGAGCAAGCCAAAAGTGACTGCAAATAGGGGAGTCTGTGAACGATAAACTGGCAACATACTGAGAGTAATATTAATACAGTAGCTAATGTATTAATCGACATATCATCATAATAAAAAGCATATTACTTACGCCTGTCACCCATAATGGAGCATAGGCTGCTAACCACCATCCTGGTCAGCGTTTTTCTTTAGCGAGTTCATTTTCTACGAAGTGATGTCGTTAACTTTATGCCCAACTCTCCTGATTTATCTGGACTTCGGACTGAGAATAACCCTAGAAGAGCTCCAGACACACCTGAACTAGTGATAGGAAGTGAAGTAGTCGATCGTGTAGACTGCTTCACTTATCTGGAGAGTCTCATCAGTGCTGATGGCCAGGTGACTGACGAAATCTCAGCACGGATACAGAAAGCTCGGTTAGCTTTTGCCAACCTGCGTCACTTATGGCGTAGGCGAGATAACCGTTCGCTGACCAAAGGACGGGTGTACTGCGCAGCAGTTTGCTCCGTTCTCCTATATGGCTGTGAAACATGGCCGTTAAGAGTAGAAGATGTTCGTAGGTTACTAGTATTCGATCATCGATGTTTAAGAAGCATTGCTCGTATATCGTGGGACAGCCGAGTAAGCAATGTTGTCGTTAGGAAACGAGTACTAGGTAAGGATAGCAGATCAATAGATGAAGTGGTGAAACTTCATCAGTTGAGGTGGTTGGGACATGTGTTACGTATGCCTAACCACCGACTGCCCCGACGAGCTATGTTTTGTAGTGTAGGAGTAGGTTGGAAGAAAGTTAGGGGCGGTCAAACCTAAACATGACAGAAATCCTTGAAGTGACTGACAAGTGGACTGAGTCATGTTGGTAGAATTAGACTACCTGGTTGGGGTCCGCTAGACGAGAGTCACCAATGGTTAGAGACCTCTAACGACATGGCTCAAAATCGTTTTCAATGGCGCAAGTGCATCCATTCTTTGAGCTCTCTCTCTTATGTACATACGTACGAAGTTCTACGTTGCAACTGACTGACTGAATAATAGGGATATATATATATATATATATATATATATATAAAATATAGTTACTGAATAGTTTTACAATCAGATTCAGCACAATAATAATCCATAAACCAGTCTTAAAAATTATCATTCCTCCAATGTTCTTCCTGATATGACATGTTATATATATGTATATGAATATTTATTTATTGATACTTTCAGTTAGATAATCTTGTTGAATTGGAAGAAATTCTCATTATTCCAGAAGATATTTGTGAAGAGTTCAATATAAAATCTTCGTCTATTGAACATTCTATCAAGTTAGTTCATAACGATAATTTTTTTCGTGCAGAGTTTTGGAGGTTTGTGTTTTTTTTTACACATTTGAAATCATCAGTCAATCATTGTTTGACCAATGGAGTTCAACCCTGTCGGGTGTAGGCAGTAACTACCAAAGACAAATGATTGAGGTCGCGCAAAATCCCTAGATCAATTAGAGTTAGACATTAACACCGTTGGATTTCAGCCGGGCCAGTGGTTCGATGGTTAGGCGTTCGCGCACAATACCGAAGGTCCCGAGTTCGAGTTCTGCGAGGTACAGGAGTCGCGGATGCACACTGCCGATGAGTTTCATACCAGGACGAAACGGCCGTCCAGTGCTTCCAGGTTTCTAATGGTCAGTCAGTCAGTCAGTTGCAACGTAGAACTTCGTACGTAAGTACATCAGTTCATGTCGCCATACCACATCAGCACAGAGATATAATTGTCAATTCAAATCCAATAGTAGAAGAGGTAGTAAAGGTATTAGAAGTAATCGTAGACGTTAGAATTAGAAGATATTATTCACGAAGTGTGATTCAATGAGATAAGTGTAGAAAGTAAAAGCTAGAGGTGTTGAAGAACTCAGAAGATTAGGATTTGAGAGAACACAAAGAATAAATGCACCGGCGCCATTGCGAACGATTTTGAGCCATGTCATTCAGGGTCTCTAACCATCGATTATTATCATCTCGCGGACCCCAACCAGGTAGTCGACAATTACCGACATGGCTAAGTCCACTCGTCAATGACTTCATGGATTTATGCCATGTTTTGGTTTGACCGCCCCTAACTTTCTTCCAACCTATTCCTACACCACAAAACAAAGCTCGACGAGGCAGTCGGTGGTTAGGCATACGCAACACGTGTCCCAACCACCTCAACCGATGAAGTTTTACCACTTCATCGATTGATCTGCCATTCTTACCTAGTACCCGTTTCCTAATAACAGCGTTGCTAACTCGGGTGTCCCACGATATACGAGCAATGCTTCGAAGACACCTATGATCGAAAACCAATAACCGTCGAGTATCTTCTACTCTCATTGGCCATGTTTCACAGCCATAAAGTAAGACAGAGCGAACCACTGCGCAGTACACTCGTCCTTTAGTCAGCAAACGGTGGTGGTCTAACAATGATTGATTGATGATTTCAGGTAATGTTTTGGTTTTAATTTCTATCCCTCCTCATTTCCTTAAATTATTCTCATTATATCTGTAAGGTCAATTTTTTTCAGTAAAATTTAGTTCGCACTCATTATGATTTATATAAGAGAAGAAGTTAGGAGCGGTCAGTGAGCTCCAAAAGAAATCCGCCCAAATGAAGGGCAAGTGATTCAGTCGTTATACGGTTTTGAATATCAGTCACTAATTTGAAAAAGTTCAAACTTCGCTACTCCTACTTTAGTTTGGATAGTGTTAGAACTTCTCATGCTTAAAATACAACTTGAAGCCAGATACATGATTGTGTTAATTGAGGTTTTATGTGAAATGGAGGTTGAAATTCGAACTTCCTTTGATTGTTTTCACACACACCTCAAGTGGTCATAATCTGTGATTCAACATTTCAAGGTGTAATGTTGTCAGGATATTCATAACCCCGTAATACAAATTAACTGTGCTCACTAGTGACGACGACTAGCTTGGTGAGGAATCTTCTCCGAGTTCTGGTGGGAAGACGTGACCAGTGAAGTTCAACCTGTTCGGGTGTAGACAGTAACTACCGAAGACTGTGTATGAGGTTGTGCAACTGCGTAAATTAATCAAGTCAGACATTAACACCGTTAGATACCGGCTCAGTGGTCCGATGGTCAGGCGTTTGCCTACAATCCCGAAGGTCCTGAGTTCGAATCCTGCGGAGTGCAGGAGTCGTGGATGCTCACTGCCACTGATGAGTAGTCCCATACCAGGACGAAACGGCCGTCTTACAGCGCTTCCAGGTTTCTAATGGTGGCAGTCTAACATTGATCGATTCATGGTTTCAAAAATGTGTCACTTAACAATCTTCACAACCCCGTAATACAAATATCCTAAACATCACTTTGTCGGTCTAATTCTATCATTGGACGTAAAATCGTATGTTTTCACATATTTCACATGTTGCTTCCTATTGATTACGATTCATGGTCGTATTAACTATATAAATATGCATTGTCTGCAAAGTCTTATTATATTCTTCTGTGCTCGGACCCCATAAACAACTTTCATCTAACAGTGTTGTGTTGTAATATATTGGAGATTTGGGGTCGTACTGGAATATCTGAATTTGGTCAATCGGTAGAATTCCGAATAGAGTCACATGGCGGATTATAAGGAATCCAACTCAAGTGTGGTTGCTAAAACAACCGTGATCATCTATTTGAATGAATGTAAAACGATCGTTAATGTGTAGTTAGAATATTTTTATTAATATCACAGAGTAAATATCATAATAATTTTAATAAACCTTATAGGTTAACGGATACTCTTTCATATTACACATGGTCGAGAAATTTCTGATGATATCCTCGATTCGTCTGTCTCTGATAAAAATCAACGCGGTTCTTCGGAACATCTTTAAACACTATAGTCACTTTTTAAGCATTATCCATTATCAGACTGCTACGTATACACCGAGATAACTTCGTAAACGTGATCCGTCATTCAATCAGTTAGTTACAGTGTAGAACTTTGTACGTACGTACCTACGTACAGAAGGTCAGGTTGCTGTACCACATTGGCATAGAGATGCCATTATCAGTTTCCGATTGTAACGTACTCAGTTAGAATTTGGTTTTATGCCTGCAATTTTTCATTTTTCCGGGTTCTTCATTCTCATTTTCGTCTAATGTTTTTTCCATTGTAGTTTCAACACTTATTAGCCATTACACACAGTTTTTCGTATATATATATATCCATTTCAGCAGTTTCAGTCAAGAATTTTTCATCATCTTCAAATATATCCGTAGTGCAAATTCTTTGCACCCCTATCCATTTCAAACGGTTATCCACTAAAGTGTACGTGTAGCAATCAGTACAAACAAAAACCTATCTTTCGGCTGAAATGAAAAATGTTTATATCACTTTACCATTTAGAGGCGATTTGGGGCAGCCATAGATGCTGCCGAGACTGATTATGATTGAACAGCCTAAGCCTGTGATTCCACATTGACCCTCAAATGATTACATCATATCCCATTGTATTTATCAATTTACATGTTTGTGTGGACACACATACATAGGGAGGAGTAATCGGACTTTGCAATCAAGGGTTGTGGAACATGTACCTAAGTGGCTTCAAAATCAGTTAACGTCAGATGAGCCGATTAACGTTGGAAATAGAAAACCATGTTCATCGATCGCCAAACACATAATTGAGACAGGGCATAAGATTGACATCAAGACAGCCTTCAAAACATTGTATAGAAATGTTGAAGGACGAATTTTGAGGTTTATGGAGGCCTTGGCTATTAGAAAATTAAAACCCCCTTTATGTGTGCAGAAACAATTTGTCATAACCTTGAATTTACCTTGGTAATCTTTAAGCCTAGGGTAATGTGACAATTTTCCTACCCCTTCTTATTCTTTTCATATTACGTTAATTTTCTCTCTCCTTTATTTACAATTATCACCCTATGTCTATTTGAACTTTTATTTAATTGACCTTTTATTCATCTTCATATAAAATGCCTTGACAAGTAAATATGTGTAACCAGATTGTTCGAAATGTATAGCGCAAATACATCACATTTTTCAGATCAATTACGTCTTCTCACTGTTCTATCAAAATTTATAAAAGGGACTAATTGTTTTAGACCCGATAAATGTAGGAAACGTAGGAAAATCATCATGTTCATCGATCGCAAAACACATAATTGAGACAAGGCCTTAGATTGACAACAAGACAGCCTTGGCTATTGGTAAATAAAAGTCCCCTTTATGGGTATAGAAACAATATGTTATCAAACGATTAGTCCCTTTTATAGATTTTGATAGAACAGTGAGAAGACGTAATTGATCGGAAAAATATTGTGATGTATTTGCCCGGTATACATTGTTCGAACAATCTGGTCACGCACACATATTCGTACACTTGTCAGGGCATTTTTTTATATGAAGATTAATAAGTGATCAGTTATAGATGAAAGTTCAGTCAGACATTAGCTGATCATTGTAAATGAAGGCTTAGGACATTTTATGTCCTAGGGTGGTAATGTGACAATTTTCCTACCCTTTCTTATTGTTTCTAGTATTACGTTAATTTTCTCTCTCTCCTTCATGATTACAATGATCACCTTATGTCTGACTGAACTTTTATTTATGATTGACCTTTCATTCATCTTCATATAAAATGCCTTGACAAGTAAATATGTGTGATCAGGCTGTTCGAAATGTATAGTGCGCAAATACATCACCTATTTTCAGATCGTTTACATCTCATTGTTCTTTCAAAAAAGTCGAACGTAATGACTGCTGATGAATCGTACACTGGAATGAAACGGCCGTCTAGTGCTGCACTAACACTGAACGATTCATGATTTCAATGAAACAAGGTATGTATATGTTCAATCCGTGACTGTCATGACTCACTTTATATATCATCCAAAGGTCTTCAATAAGATTTAAGAATCACTTTTGTACGGTAGTAGTATATACGAAGAAAATTAATAATCTCAAATGCAACATCTAGCCTATACGAAATATGGTTAAAAGTTTGATGATGTAATTCGATTATATAGTTTAGGATATTCAGGACTCTCATCTTGTGTCTATTTGCCGCTTGTTAGCAGAATGTGCACCTGTATTCTTGTGTTGATGCTTACTCACATCTTTAACTTCACATGTTTCCTACATTTTCCTTTACTTAATCGCTTCTATTCGTGATAATCATAACGATATGTTGTTGCTGCTCATTGTGTTACAGAATATCTGGATATGTGAGTAAACCTCCTGATCCTTCTTCTACAAGTATCACATCTTCCCTTATCAATGATTCATCACCATTATCATCGGCTAACCGACGTCGAACATCAACAACTATTGGTTATTCTTCATCGGAACGTCAATTTATTTATATTAATGGACGACCGTGTGATTTGCCGAAAATCGCACGTCTGGCTACTGATTTATGGCGACGTTGTTCCAAAGAAGCTTATTCATCTATAGCCGGTGGCATAAGTTTACCTAATCGAAGTACTGTTAATACATTTCCGGTACTGATACTTTTGTTTACAATGCCTACACGTAAGTGACTAGTCATCATAATAATGTGTATTTGTATATTATTTTAATGCTGATTGAATTCTGCCAATCATTTTACAGTGTGATTACTGGTCGAAGTGACTCGATATCGTGTACATTATGTTAAAATGTCATATGTTTAGAAGGACTTGATTTTGACCAAGTTGATCTCCTGTGCTGTTACTTTCTGACTGCCCACACCGTGAAAGAGTATTTCTTGAGATACCTGATAAGGTAGTTGGGTTTTGGCGTTGGTTTTAGTGACCTGGAAGCGTGACCACCGAGTCAAAGAGACAACGACTTAAGGTCAGTTATGCACGGCCTTTTTATGAGGAGTTTTTAAAGTGTTTGATCCGCTCTCCAAAAAACGTTGTCACCGAAGAGGGAAGTCCGTCTGGTAAGGTGAAGTGTGACATTTTTAGGTTTGTCCTTCTGTAAGTTTTTCCTTCCTTGCGATGAGGCAGTGTTGCTGCAGATGCTGGTTATCTGAGGGAAGCACCTTATTGCTGTCATACGTCTCTACAGTTAGCATTTCGACTTCACCCTCAGACCTTAAATTGCTGCTTTTAGTCTTGCTGTTCTCCAGTCGGCCTGTCCGGCATGGTAGGAGAACTAAAGGAACATATGTTCCAGTCAATATAGCTCGGTTGGTTGATCATGATCCTGGCAAGCCCGACCAGGTCATGTGGTTGAAGGTAACCGGCAAAAAACTCTATACTTACATCCCGCGCTGATAGGTACTTATTAGCAAGGCATGTTCTTGAGGGAAATGTTACTTTAATTGGAGTTAAACTACTTGTTAGCGAGTACCAACTAGCACAAAACCTTTGTACATAAATTCTTGCCGTTTACCTCTAGCCATCATCCTGACATATGAACATAAGTACTTGTTTATCTTCTTTATTTAATGACACCTGAATTCTCTTGTCATTCTGTATGAAAATCCATTTTAAAGTTATGGTAGATTAGTGTAATTTATGGTTTCTATTTCCCTTCATGAAATAACCTCAATCAGTAGTTGAAGACATAAGCTAACCTGATTCATGTCTAATTCTGTGCTGTTGATCTCATTAATTTGACCTTGTTGTGTTAAGTGGTTCAAGGTTGTTGGTAAGAAACTCTGGGGCTTAATTTTTGTACTCATATTGACATTCGTCAGTAAAGCATATCTGTAATATTGATATTACTATAATTCACTTCTGAGTCATCCAACTTTTCAAGATTTAAGATTTTTCTCACCGAACTATTTTGATGTCCATGACTAATGTTCTATAGAACTGAAACCGTTGTATCTATTCTTTGCCGACCGTAGCTGCTACCTTGATGTGGTGGTGGTCGGGCTTGTCTATTGTGATGTCCCAACCGAGCTATATTCTTTGGAACATATGTTCCTCTAAGCTTGACCATGCCAGGAAGGTCGATTGGAGAACGGTGAGACTAAAAGCAGTAACTGAAGATATGAAGGCGAAGTCGTACTGTTGATTGTAGAGAGGTGTGACAGCAGTAAGGTGTTTCCCTTCGAGCAACGAGCATCTTCCTTCTCACAACCGAAGGAAGGGGTTAGAAATGGGTAACTGTAAAAATGTCACACCTCACCTTAACCCACAAGCTCCCGTCTCGGGCGGTAAGGCCTTTTGAAGAGCGTTACTAACACTTCCAGGAATGCCATATAATGCCGTGTGTGACCGGTCTGAAGCACTTTGTGGAGGTCGGTATTCGATATATTCCTTTTTGGTTTTCTTTCTAAGTTTATTTCGCTAGATTATTGTGCTTGAATAATATCGTCGAACCCTAATCTCTCCGATTACTGTTAACAGCTTTACTACCTCTACTACAACCGTATTTGAATTGACAATTGCATCTGTGTGTGCTAATGTGGTATGGCAACCTGAATTGATGTACGTACGAAGTTCTATGTTATTGTTGACTGACTGACTGACTGATTTATTTTCTATTCTCTTGCTTTTCTCTCGACACTTCAATTTTCATTTTCTGTTTTTTTTTCAAAAACCAAAAAAAAATCATTTTAGAATCTGTTGATATAAATTTAACTCCGGACAAACGAACTTTATTACTACATCATGAAAATTATGTAATGGCTTTAACTAAAGCAACTTTAGTGAAAACTTTATTTCATTCAACTGGTATGGATATTAGTAGGCTATCACAATCACGTATTGATTTTGACCAATCACAAATTATCACTGGCTACGATCGATTGGATGAGACATCTCAAATGAATTGTGTAAGTTGGAAGTTTAATTTTTTTTAATTTGTACTCAAATTATATGTTTACTTTTATGCATCAATTTGACGGTTATATTATGCAAATCGATCATGTGTTCAGAATAGATGTTGGCGTAAATTGACTGGCAACACTAGAGAGTGTAAGATAACTAGACGAAGAAAACGAATTCAGACCGGTTATCATTGACGTTTAGTTCAAAAAAACGTCGGGAAAGAATGCCTATCTGATTGGCGTCCGCATGATAATCACTATAAGTGAAGTAGTCGAACGTGTAGACCGCTTCACTTATCTTGGGAGTCTCATCAGTGCCGATGGCCTGGTGACTGACGAAATCTCAGCTCGAATACAGAAGGCTCGATTGGCTTTTGCCAACCTGCGTCACTTATGGCGTAGGCGAGATATTCGTTGGCTGACTAAAAGACGAGTGTACTGCATAGTAGTTCACTCCATCTTACTTTATGGCTGTGAAACATGGCCAGTGAGAGTAGAAGATATTCGTAGGTTACTGGTATTCGATCATAGATGTTTAAGAAGAATTGCTCGTATAACGTGGGACAATCGAGTGAGCGCCGCTGTTATTAGGAATCGGGTGCTAGGTAAGAATGGCAGATCAATAGATGAAGTAGTGAAACTTCACGAGTTGAGGTGGTTGGGACATGTGTTACGTATGCCCAATCAACGACTGTCTCGAGCAATGTTTTGTGGTGTAGGAGTAGGTTGGAAGATATCTAAGGGTGGCTAGACCAAAACATGACAGAAATCCATGAAGTCACTGACAAGTGGACTGAGTCATGGTGCTATGTGTAGACTACCTGTTTGGGGTCCGCGAGATGATAATAATCGATGGTTAGAGACCTTGAATGACATGGCTGAAAACCGTTTGCAATGGCATCGGTGCATTTATTCTTTGTGTTCTCTCAAATCATAATCTTATGGATTCTTCAACACCTCTAGTTTTGACTTTCTAAACTTATCTCACTGAATCATACTTCTTGAATAATATCTTCTAATCCTAACCTCTCCGATTACTTCTAATACCTTAACTACCTCTTCTACTATTGGATTTGCATTGACAATTGCCTGTTAATGCTATTGTGGTATGGCAACATGAGCTGACGTAGTTACGTACGAAGTTCTACGTTGCATCTGATTGACTGACACTATAAGTGTTTGGGAACACTTGTTGATAGAACTTGAATTCTGTCATATTGTAGTTGTGTTCATTCGTTGTCTACCCTTATAGATCTTAAATTACAAGCCTATTTGATGAATTCGTTCCATTTTGTTGAATAATATTCTTTTTGTCTAGTCTTTTTTCTATCAGTGTTAATGCTGCATGGATTAATAATATAATTAAATTTATACTTTGGCTAGTTTTTTCTTAGTCTTTTTTTAATGACAAAGTTGACATTGATTGTTCTGGTTGGAGTTGATGGATAGCTGAGTCGCTTATGAGGTGTGCATTGACAAGTTTTTTGTACAGGTTGTTGGTTTTTTTATTATAGATGTCTTCGAAGCATCGCTAGTATATCATGGGACAGCCGATTAGACAGTGCTATCGTTAGGAAATGAGTACTATGTAAGGATAGCAGATCAATTGATAAAGTAATGAATCCCCATCAGTTCAGGTGGTTGGGACATGTGTTACGTATGCCCAATCAACGACTGTCTCGAGCAATGTTTTGTGGTGTAGGAGTAGGTTGGAAGATATCTAAGGGTGGCTAGACCAAAACATGACAGAAATCCATGAAGTCACTGACAAGTGGACTGAGTCATGGTGCTATGTGTAGACTACCTGGTTGGGGTCCAATGGTTAAAAACCTTGAATAACAAAGCTCAAAATCGTTTGTTATGGCACAGGTTCATTCATCTA